TACACATTAAACTGTCCCCGACGCTACCTTTATTTTTTTAATATCTTGTATTTGTCTTTTATTAAACTGCTGGCGCAGCAACCAGCACATTGTGCCACAAGTGTGCTATATGTGCTTTATGTCATGATGTACTTTTTGATGACCATCTGTCTCCAAAAGGATAAATCTCAACGTGAAACGTCAGGTTTCTGTTGCCTTATTTTAGCCTTCCTTTGTAAAAATTCACCTCTTGCTCCCAGGGAACGCTCTCGGCTGCAAACTTCAGCTCTGCTCGGGTGTGTTTTGGTCTGCAGGAGCCTTTTCTTGGCTCCCTGCTGTCTGAGAGTGGTTAAATGCAACAGCGTTGGGGGCGAGAGCGGTGCTGGCCATTGCACCAGGCAACCCGGCTTGTTCTGCCTAACATTTCCACTGCTCAGCAATTAGTTTATGGATTTTAATCCTTTTTTTTTTTTTTTTTTTTTTTTGCAAGGATTTTTGTCTCCAGTCCTCCCAAATGTCTTACATTCCCCTGAAGGGACTCAGGCTGCTGCTGCTTTTTATAGTTGCATTGTTACTTGGTTTCCCTGATGGCTTTCCTTGAGAGCGCATTCAGACTGCCTCTTTGCCTCCCTTTCTTTTCTCTTTGCTTTCAGTTTACTGTTCCACATCTTCCTTAATTCTCTCCCCTTTTCTTTCTTTTTCTCCCCTGCTCTTTCCTCTGCTTTTGCATCATTTCCCTGTGACAAACCTGCCACCATGGGACCCAGGGAGCACTCTGGATCTTTCCCACATTCCCCTTCCTCTCACTGCTTTTCCAAGGGCTCCTTTTCCTACTCACTGCTTGCCCGGCTGGGCCAAAGTATCTCAGATTTCCCACGTGAGCATCCAAGGCCGCTGCCGACGGGCCCTGTTGTGCCACGTTCCCTTGATTATCCCCTACCTCCCACGGAAGAACCCCTGGGAGAYGGAGAAAGCTGCCGTGGGTGGCAGAGCTCCCTGTAAAGTGGGTGCCACTTTTCACCCCTTTCCTTGCTGCCAGGGAGCATGTCAGCGGGACTGAGGGGTTAACAACACAGTGTTTCCTTCTGTTGTACTTCTGTATAGCTACTCTTAGCTCTCCCTCTCTTTATATATATATATATATGTATGTGTGTATATAGAGATTTAKAGATCTGTCTTTCCCTGCTCCTTGCACAGGTCCCTGTAGTGGCACAAGGACCAGGATAAACTCCCTCCTTTTYCCTCCTCTCACGTAGTACCACACACCCCATTGCAAAGGGCTGGATCCCTGAGYGTGGCATCACTTCCCAGAGCCAAGCCCCTTGGGAAGCGGGAAGAAAACGTGTGCCCGGGAAAATATTCCCTGCAGGAGGTTTTTGGAGAAGTCCTGAAGAGTTGAGCTGGCAAAACTGTTAGGATTAGCACAAATGATCCCRGATGGATGCAGCTGTAAGGCTGGTAACATCCCTGCCAGCTGGGAGCCTGCGGGATTTTCGGGAAAGGAGCCCCCTTCCTGGGAGGGGATGGAGAGCAGGAGCTCTGATGAGCAGGATCCAGCTGATGCASCTGCTGAGCTGATCCAGCTGCAGCCCAATGGTTTCATGTTCCGTGCGGAGAAAGGGAAAAGCCTTGCAAGGTGCTGGGCTTTCCTGGCGAGCACAGTGGCGGCAGGGGCAGGACGGCAGGGCTGCTCCGCACGGGAAGCATCCCAAGGCCGGGGGTGGGAAGGGACCGCGCGGTGCCTGCTCTCCCGTAAGCCGGGAGGGAGGATTTGGTGCTCGTTCCGCTCAAAGGAAACCTGGTTTTGTTAACGGAATCTCTTGGATACTACATCTAGAAATGTGCCACTGCAAAATATTTCAGTGCTTTCCTTCTAATCACAGCTTTTTGTCTCATTTGCTCAGTTATGAACGGGGTAAATCCAACACGTCAGGGAGGTCTGAGGATAGGAAACTTAATAACTTAATCCGGCCGGAAGAAACAGGCCCTCTCCTAAGGCAGGAAGGTGCAACGTGCTCTTGTCTGCCAGCTGCAAATTGAAATTGTGGTTTCTTCTGAAAAATCCTGCGCTGGTCGATCCTCTGCAGGTAGGAGGGGGCTCCCAGGCCACTGCCTGCCGGCTGCTGCTGCAAGGCGGCCCCTCAGCAGCACCGAGGTCCCTGTGGGGAAGATTTGTGCTTATCTGGGTTAAAAAAAGGGGAAAAAAAGTCCTATCTAAATCATTCTGAGCTGCTGCAGAGCCAAGGATGGGCTCTTTTTATTCCAGAGGACCTGGGAGGAGAGATCTGTCAGGATATGAGATTTGGGGAGGGTAGGGAAAAAGAGTGGGCATTAGAGGAAGAGGGATTAAAGATRTTTGAAGAGTGGGGAGAAAAAAGCAAAGCCAAAGGACAGAGCAAGTTACATTGAACAAGTGAATAAGTCTGTGTAGCTCTGCTATGGGTTTATTCTGATTTACAAAGGGGCACTACATTGCAGGCCTGGTTAGTAAAGGCAAAAGAGCTGCAAGACATGAGTGAATTCAGCTCTGCTCAAAAAGAGTTCCTAAAATAAAATATGAATCTGCCAAACCCATATGCATATTCCAAGTGCATTACTAGGGAGATGAAATGTGTCCTTAAGCTGGTGGAATGGCTCAAATTTGGGGTAGAATACATGAAAGTAGTACTTAGAGACCGTTTCTGCTATCTCGAAGAAAAATGGAATTGGTTTTCCACTATTAAAGAAATCAAGATGATCAAACATCAAATTATCAGTTCACATAGACCTTGATTTCTCTCCAAACTGTAAGTCTGAAAGCTATTCCCAGATAAAATATATGTGCAAATATCAATGCTCGAAACTGCTGAAAGGTCATTCCTCTCGTGTTTTGCTGTTTAAACTTCAGACCAAACAGCACATTCCTTCCAAGCAAACCCGGTAGAAGATGCTCACAGATTTCGAAGTAAAGCCAAAAATTGGTTTTAGGAATAACGTTGTCAGTAACTACAGCTCGTAAGACCCGCAATTTGGAGATACATGCAGAATTCACTTTGGAAATGAACAGCTCTGATAATTATTTGCAAATTCCATTTTACCATTTGTGTTTGCCTTTATATCCCATATAGATACTACATGCTACAACAAGTATGTACTTCATTACGTGGCGTGTTTCAAGTCTGCAGAGTAACTGTGCAGATAGAGAAATCACTTGCTCCTAAAAATTCTTTCAATATCTCTTTTTCAGTTGGCCATAATTTTTCCTTCCTATGCAACAAAGCGGTCTTTGAAGTGATATGAGTTCATTAAAGCTCTTTCCTGTGCTGTAAAATTATATTACATCCTCCTAATGCTGCGTTCCAGTGCACTGTATTTTGTTTAAAATGTCTTTCTGTGAACATCGAGTGATTTCCTGACAGATTTAGGAAATATTCTGGATGATTATGAAGTAATATTTTCTCCAAGACTGCATATTCCTTTTTTTWTTWTTATTTTTTATTATTATTATAGCGGCTTTTTGTGGCGGATTTCCCATTGTAGCAGCATTTAGGATTTACCACTCTGCTTATTGCTCGCCAGCTTCCCCATCCTCTTGCCTAGAGGCTAAGAACAAGGGACGTGTTTTTCGTTTTTCTTCTTTTTTTTTGTCTAACCATGAAGACGACATGATGCTTTAAGATAAGGAATATTCTTTTTGCATGACTTAGCCACGTTCATCTGAATCTTACATGTGGGTGGGTGAGAGAAAATGCAGTCGTCCCAATGCGGGCTGTAGCTAAGCGTGTTTAGCCATCAGTTTTTGCCTTTCCCAAAATGCGGGCTGGGTGCCCACTGCTTCGGGGGAGGCAGAAAGGAGAATTTAGCAAATAACCCACCTAAGCAAGGCAAATCGCATTGATTTCTCCTTTTTTTTTTTTTTTTTTGACATCTGCAACACAAATTTAATTGCAACCAGAGCAGCGTTTCCCTTGCAGTCTCCATGGGCGATTAACACGACTGCTCCCGACTCCAGCCCAGTTTGTCCCCCCGAGCACTGCCATGGGATTTATTGGAGGAGGGATGAATCCAGCCATGCGGGCAGGAGCCAGGAGGAGGCAAAGGAGCCCAAGGGGGCTTTGCCAAGAGAAGTGCCCTGCGCTGAGGGGTCCCACGGGTAGCCCTGAGCACCCTGTGTTGTGACGTCCTGGGTGTGCGAGGCCCCAGGTGGCTTCCAGGAGGCCCCGTGGGGCTCCAAGTCACCGTGCTCCCCTTCTCCGGCAGCATTGGAGCTGGAGATGATGGCTGTCACTAAGTAACTAGGAAGTTTTTGCCCTTGTGCCACCCCTGACAGCAGCAAGGRGAGGGGACAACCTCAGTGTCTCCCTTGAGGAAACCCATGTGGTGCCCTGGAGCGGGATGTGCATCATGTGGGACTGCGGGCGCCTCAYGCAGCCAGGATATTTTTATGGGGGGCAAACGTGGTCCCTATCATGAAGGGAGATCTAGGGTGGGTGGCGCTTTGGGGGCCCAACACGGTGCCTGGACGCCGAGGGGACACCGCGCCCTGGGGCGCCAAGATGGTGGCCGAGCGCTGAGGGGAGCTAAAGGGGGCGCCGCACGGGGGGGCGGGGAGAGCAGGGGGCGGGGCCTCGGCGGCGGGGGGCGTGGCGATCCGCAGCGCCCTCACAATGAGGCGCTCCCCGCGGCGGGGGTGACATCACCCGCTCTCGCCAAAGAGGCGCGCGCCCATTGGCGGCGGGGGCGGCGGCCGCTGGGCCAATGAGCGTGGCGCTCGGGCGGCAGGCGGCGCTGACGTGCGGCCCCCTTTGCCGTACGGGGGTTTATTTTGCTTTGGGCCGCTCCGGCCGCCGCCATTAGAGGAGCGCGGGGCGCGGGGGCGAGCGCTCCGTAACCCCCCCGCCCCCAGAGCTCCCCCCGGCCCGCAGAGTGGTCGCGCCCGCGGCCGCGCCAGCCCCGCCGCGCCGGGCGAGACCATGTCGTGAGCGGGGGCGGGGGGAGCGGACGCCGCAGGCAGCGGGCCGGGGGCGGCGCGGGCGGCTCGCAGCGCCGGAGGGGACGCCAGGTAATGGCCGGGGGGAAGGGGGGGGCGGCCGCCGTTTCGGGGGGCGCGGGGCGTTGGGCAGGGGGGCGGCGGGGCCGCGGGAGCCCCCGCGGAGGTGGCTGCCCTCAGCGCGGAGCCGCCGCAGCGCCTCGGTGCCGCCGAGGTCACGTCTCTGCCGCCCCCCCGCCGCGGGCTGCTTGCTTAGTTGTTTTTATTTATTTATTTATCTACACTTTTTAAAAAAACACTTATTTTTTTGGGTCTGCGTGGTGTGGTGATGTGAGCCGCTGGAGTATATTTGTGCATTTTGGGCAGCAGTTTTCCGTGGGACTGCGTGTAATTCCAGTTTATTCCCAACTTTATTCCCGGCCGAGGCTCGTCACGCGATGTTGCGTGTAATTCCGTGCAATATCGCGGGCTGGCCCTTGGTCTGGAGTAAAGTGCAGTGTGAGGAAGGCGTCCAGCTCCTGCTTGGTCTTACCTGGATGAAACTGAACTAAATTAATTTAAGAAACAAAAGGGAAATAAGTGGATAGAATAACAAGGTAAGCGGTGGTAGCGTGTTCTGCCAGTGCCTCCGTGTCCTGGCTTTCCCATTCCCAGCCCGCAACTTCCTGCCAGGACGAGGCACAACTTGTGGTGGAGGTGGCCAGCGTGTCCCTGTGTCCGGAGCCGCCGCTTGTCCCGCTCCCCTCGGCGCTGGGAGAAGCCGGGCAAGCGACTCCAGGTCCCCACGGCATTCCCGGCCTTGGGTGGTAACAGTGAAGAACATTTTTTCCCCAGGTTTCTTGGGAATGGGTGTCGCAAACGCGTTTCTTTGGCAGGCTGCGTGTGCACGAGCAGTGTCTGCTCCCTCGTCACCCCGCATGTTGTATCAGCAGAGCTGGCATGTGGATTTAACACCTTGGCGCGCGTGCTTATATTTAATGTGGGTTTATAGCTAATATTTAGTCCTAGGTGATTGCAGAAGAGGTTTGCAAAGCCTGTTTTTTCTCTTCATTGGTTACAAAGCGGGGTACAGGTGAGCCCAGCTGCCGGAAGGATTTACGGATTCTTTATTTACTTYCTTCCTAAGGCCAGGTTGAGTTGGAATCACTCGTGTCCTTTAGTGTGCAAAGTCTGGAGTATGGGATGTAAAAGATAGCTGGGATTTAGGCTTGTGGCAGCAGTAAAGGGAGGTGGTTTGGATGAGTTGCGTTTTGTAGGGTTGGTGAAACTTAAATTATGTGGTGTAGTTCTCTTGAAAGAAAGAAGAAAAGTTTGTTACCTTCTGTCCTTTTGATAAGGACGAGGAGATGGGGGGTGTCTTMTCAGACTGTGATACATTGCTGTCTTGTCTCCATTAGCATTTTCTCAGAAGTGTAGTAGCTGGAAATATTCATTTGAAACCCTGAATGACGTAGACGTTATCCTCACGGAAGCATAGCTTAAATTGCAGGCTAGTGAAACACAGAACTAGACAGGGAAGCATATTCTGTATTAGGCTTGTGTGTGACCATTCTAATCTTGCATTATTGAGATTGTAAATCCCTTTGATGGGGGAGAAACTGCATCCCTCTTTAGAGCTTAGTGCAAGGTAGTTAGGTCTGTGAGTACATTAGAAGTTTAAGGAGAAAGTCCCTTGAAGTATTGATTATATGAAGTTTTATTTTAATGCAATCGAATATTCAAACAAGCACTGGAGCACTTTAATGTGAAATTTTACTTGCTGCTTAATGTGGTTATGGAGTAGATGCGAGCTTCCCTCTTGCGACTTCGTTGCCTTACGAGTTTTGCCCTGAGCTGAGATTGTGCAGARCTTTAGATCAGTTCATTCTTCATCTATATCAATGATAACAAAGCAGTTAAGCTGCTGGTACAGATTTCTGTTGTTGTTAACCAGTTCTATTAATAATGTCAGACTCTTTGTCCCTCCAGATCAGAACATCTTCCTTTGAGCTATTCAAAATGTATGTCAACAAGTAATCCCCACTTTAACTGAATTAATCACAATTCACAGTCTCCTGTTACTGAAATGGGACTGAAGTTGGGCAGCTGAAGATGGCTGACTTAGCCATAATAGAGTTCTTGATTTATTTTTTTCTGTGTCTACAGATAAAGAAGGAAAGGAGGCAAAATTGAAAGGAGAATATTTTTCTTTTTTTTCCCCTCTGTCATGTATTCAAAAATAACTGATGAAGAAGGTAGTGCTTTACTTGTCAAATGGCTGGTAATATCAAATTCAAGAGCAGTGATTATATCATTGTAATGTCAGTTACATGAGGTTTGTTGCAGTCGACTGAAAGACAAAAGTTTTGTTTTCAAGTTCTCCAACATAATCRTACTTTACGTGCTAGTATTTACACTTTTCCCCTTGTTACAACGTTGACATGGCTTTAAATTGCAAAGAATTAGAATGATTCAATTAATAACTATGAGATTTTGCTTGTTTGTTTGCCTTTGCATCATCAGGTGCTGAAGCACAGGTTCTCATATGTAAAAAATGAAGGGAATTAATAGAAAAATATGCATGCATAGAAAAATACCTATATATTTCCTCCTTCCTACATAATGAAGAATTCATTGGGATTTTGAAAGCTATAACTTGTGACATCTTGACCGGCCTTGGTATCTCTGGTATGATTATGAAGCAAACAAAGCATTATATGAGGCTTTAAAGAAACAAAGTGCTTTCCTTTTTCTGAATGGAGTGAGGCAATTTTAACTCTTCCCCCCCCCCCCCTTTAACCTCTTGTTGAATTCAAGGCTACAACAAGTTCTGCTAAGATGTCATGTGGTGCAGTTAAACTTTAGAACAATGTAAACTGGACTTTCTGCATTAGCTTCAGCCTTTAATTTTATGGCATTTAAAGCTTGAGTCTGTAAGATCAATAGTTCTCTTTCCATTCCYGTTAACAAGCTTTGAGCGGTGTTCTGGGGAGAACAGGGAATGAGTGGAGTGAGATTTGAAAAACAAACTGTTTCTGCAAAAGAGATACATGATCCAGAGACCGCATCAAGAAAGCAGAAGAAATTACCAAATGTTGTCTACCTTGACTTCAGCAAGGCTTTTGATACCTTCTCCCGTAACATCCTCATAGGAAAGCTAAGGAATTGTGGGGTAAGTGAGTGGACAGTGAGATGGACTGAGATCTGGCTGGATGGCAGAGCTCAGAGGGGCCCCTGTGCCATGTGCTCTAGGTGCTCCTGCTTGAGCAGGGGGGTTGGACTAGATAATCTCTAGAGGTCTCTTCCTTCCCACCTCAACRGTTTTGTGGCTTTCCCAAGGAAAATGGGAGGTGATGCATCTTTCCCTCCATTCCTCCCCGTGTATGTGCTTAGCACCATRTCTGCAGAAGCAGCCAAGTTTGCAGCCTTCTCCATCTCTCCTGTGCACCAGATATAATTAAGTTGGCCTTTTTCCATTTGGCTATTTAAATTTATCCTGATATAATCTGTCCTGCTTGTCCTTAAAACAAGGATATAGTTTTTGTGTGGTGTACTCCAGTAATGTGATAATGCTGCTGGGAGTGGCTCCTTTTTTTTCTTGCATTCATGTTTGCGTTTTATTTTAGCAAGAGTGAGTCCTTTTAAGACAAATACTGGAGAAGGCACAAAATTTACATTGCTTTCTACGACTGAGTTCCGATTGAACTGAAAATGCTTGAAGCAGTAGGAGCGAAGTACAAAATGAATGCCCGATGTGCAACTTGCTGTCTGGGTTTGTCGGCTTTCATAAGTGCAAATAGGGCTTTTTCCTGAAACAGTTGCCTGTAAGGAAAGAAACTGCAGCCTCTTCTGCACCAGAAGTCAGTACACGGTGACATTTTATTAGGAGCATGTTTACCATTGCTTTGTCAACAGCTGTTGAGGTTGAGAGATCCTCCTTCTGCTTCTTTGACTTTGATTTGATTTAGTAGCTATTTTTGAGTAGCTGTTCCTGACAAAATAGGGAAAGTCTGAGCTACCAGGGTGTTTACAACGCTAACTGACCTTTGTAAGATATGTGGGTGCTGTTTTAGTCAGACAGGAGTTATTTTCCCCAAACTAAACTGAAAAAATGTAGCCGAACTGTTGCTTACAAGACCCTGGAAAGCAAAATAAGCTCAAGTGGTCTGTTTTGATAGACTCTAATGATCAAGATGTCTTTTAGTGGCTTTGAAGTTCTATGTGCTGTTTTAGGAGCACTCATTTGAAAGCTGCAGGCTTTAGGGAGTGTACAGTCGCTACATGATCCAACAAAACAACCATGATTTTATAAATACGGATAATTCTTGCAAAGAATAGGAGGTCTCATGTTTGCAGAGATCAATGCGGGTGTTATGGGAGAGTCTTACCTTGGTTGTAAAGACCACACATAAATACATTACTGATGACTTGAACTTCTTTCAAGCTGATGGGTTTGGAAATGTTTTTTTCTTAGATCACAGGCAGGAGAATGGGGATGAGACACCTATCACACCCATCACGTTTCTGGGAGGACTGCTCGCTGAATTCCTTCTTGCARTGGAGCCTTCCTCCAAACATAGAATCATAGAATGCCGAAGGTTGGAAGGGACCTCAGAGGTCATCGAGTCCAACCCCCCTGCTCGCGCAGGGTCCCCTAGAGCACGTGGCATAGGGCTGCATCCAAGCGGGTTTTAAAGATCTCCAAAGAAGGAGACTCCACAACCTCTCTGGGCAGCCTGTTCCAGTGCTYTGTCACCCTCACAGTGAAGAAATGCTTCCTTAAGTTCTGGGTCTTACCTCTTCTGTGCTTTCAAGGACTGTTGAATAGACRCTTGTTTTGTGCTAAACTCTTTTTTTGTTTCATTTCCCGCTAGCTATGATTGATTTTTGCAGATTTATTTTGTGCTAAGTTTCTTAAAAATGCACAACTTTCTACACCTTTAGACCCAGGCCTGTGAGTTTAGACTCCGGCAGTAAAGGCTGCCGCTCACTGTGGTGAGAAGCAATTTTTATCTCACCAAAGGGCCGGGGGGCCTCTGGGACTATCTACATTTTTTTGACCTCTGCATTACTGTTTAGTTTGGCAGGGATAA